TACATATATAGATTAGCAAACAATTTTAACTCACCTGAAAACAATATACAAAATGCAACTTGAAATTGCTAACCTGAACATAATCAAGTGGGATAAGCTTTGGCTGGTGATGTAAAATAAGATTGGAAAGGAATACACAACCTCCATGCATATAGACATTTACAAGTATCCTTACTCATATTACTTCAGCTAATCTAAAAGGCAATTGATTGTAAAAAGCAATATTATTTTACATACAACCAAGGAAAACACTGTCCTCACACAACGTCAATTATAAAACACATCCCTGAGGAAATAAGCTCAAATTTTTATCAGTAGGTCAAAGGTAACTTTATTTTCTCTTCTTCAGTGGAAGAATATTCTAGAAAGGCTCTAATGAAAGTTTGTTTCATTTAACCTCATTCTGTGTTTTAAACACTAGATGCTTAATTACATGAATGTTAAGATACAAAACAAAAAAAAGGTATATGAAATATAATGTGTACTTGCACAGGGTTTGGCAAATAAATAAATGTTATTGAATTTATGAAATTATTTGATATGCCTAAAGATACAATTAAATCATTGCTAACTTTTAATATTACTCTATTCATGTATTCCACAAAGCTCTTCAAGGCAAAATGAAAACTTAAATGTAAATGCTTCTGAAATATTAAATCCAGTCCAGTTAAAAATTGTTCCTCTCTGGCATCATTTTATATTTTGGTGCTTTCACACTTACCTAAAGGCAGCCCAGTAAAGTAACAGATGAAGTTGTACCTCCTTGGGTATAATACATGGGTGCAACTGAGAGAAAAGCTCATTCAACTCTTAGATTCCTATGTTATAGGTTAAAAATGGAATCAAATACAAAACCTATTCTTGATTTGTGATTAATTTTTGGTATAAGTATTAAAAGCAAATAGATCAGCAATTCATGGGTTTTAAATATTGATTTTGTTTAGTGTGAAAAGAATTAATCAATAAAATATAAAACATTGTTTAAAGCTTACTAAACGTACACACACACACACACACACACACACACACACTCACACACGGCATGGCCCAAAAGTCTTAGTGCAGTTTTATGCTGTAATTACTTCAGAAGTATAAATGCTTCAAAATTTGAAAATGCAATTATATACATTTCATTTTCACGTGTTTGTTTATTTATTTTAATCCTCACCTAAGGATATGTTTTCACTGATTTTAGAGAGGGAGGGAGGGAGGGAAGGAGGGAGGGAGAGAGAAACATTGATCAGTTGCCCATCCCCATGGCAGTTGGACATCTTTAGCACTACCACAGAGGCAAGAGAGGCTCCCGCCACCGCCGCTGCACTCGCCAGTGGTCAGTGCGTGTCATAGCGACTGGTCATTTCACCATTGTGTCAATTTGCATATTAGCCTTTTATTATATAGGATAACTTCTTTGGTTAATCTCTCCTCACCCCTCCCACCCCCTTTTTTTCTGAAATACATCAGTCTGTTGCACATTTAATGTCTCTGGATTTATTTGTTCATCAGTTTATTTTGTTCATTAGATTCCACATATAAGTGAGGTCATGTGATACTTGTCTTTCTCTGACTGGCTTATTTCACTGACCATAATACCCTTTAGGTCCCTCCTTGTTGTCTCAAAGGGTAAGAGAGCCTTCTTTTCTACAGCTGCATAGTATTCCATTGTGTAAATGTACCACAATTTTATAATCTATTCATCTACTGATGGACACTTGGGCTATTTCAAGATCTTGATCTTAGCTATTGTAAATAAAGCTGCTATGAACATAGGGGTGCATATATTCTTTCTGATTAGTATTTCAGGCTTCTTAGGATATATTCCTAGGAAAAAAGACTACAAATTGTAGCAGCAATCTTGAGAAAGAAGATATATGCAAAAAAATGAAACTAGACCAGCACCTTATTCCATACACAAGAATAAACTCAAAATGGAAAAAGACTTAAATGTAAGTCATAAAACTATAAAAATAATGAAAGAAAACATGCAGCAAAAGCTCAGGCATCTCACATAGTAGAATTTTCCCTGATACATCACCTAGGACAACAGAAGCAAAGGGGAAAAATAAATAAATAGAACTACATCAAAATAAAAAGCTTCTGCATAGCAAAAGAAACCAGCATTAAATTGAAAAAGGGAACCCACTGCATGGGACAACATATTTGCCAATAATACATCTGATAAGGGGTCAATTTCCAAAATATATAAAATACTCATACAACTCAATAAAAGAAAAACAACCCAATTAAAAAATGGATAGAGGACCTGAATAGACACGTCTCCAAAGAAGACAGACAAATGGCCAAGAGACATGAACAATTACTCATCACTAATCATCAGAGAGATGCAAATTAAAACTATAATGAGGTGTTACATCACACTTGCCAGAATGGCTACTATCAATAAATCAACAAACAACAAGTGCTGGTGAGGGTGTGGAGAAAAGGGAACCCTAGTACACTGCTGGTGGAAATGCAGACTGATATAACCACTGTGGAAAACAGTGTAGAGTTTCCTTAAAAAAATTAAAAATGGAACTGTCATAGGCCATTACTTTTAAAGTAATTCTTTCTTAATAATTTGAAAGATATCAACACAAACTCATATTTAACTATAATTCTAATGATTTATTTTTTCATTATTGTTTCTATATTCATGTCATTCTTTTCTTAGAATCTTTTGTTTTGTTGGAAAATATTCTAAACTAATTACTTTTTCAGAAAAGGTTCATTTGGGATAAGTTTCCTGAGTCCTGACAATTCTAAAAGAATAATGTCTTTATTCTGTCCTTACACTATACTCAGTTGAATGCTAGTTTTGCAGAACATGTAATTCTAGGATAAAAATATTTCCCTTTAAAAATATTTCACAATTTATTGCAAATGATGTTAAGTCTACTAATAATATAATTCTTGTACTTATGTAACTTTCTTCTTTCCTTTAGGGAAATATCAAATTTGAATTTGTGTCTAGCATAGATAACGTTGTTTCCCCCGTTTGGCACTAAGTGGGTCTTTTCAATCTGGAGACTAGAATCTTTCCTCGCCTCTTCAGTTCACAGAAACTCCCACCCCCACCTTTTGTTTTATGATTATTTCTTCCTTTCAATTGTTTTCTTTTTTGCATGTGTCAAGTTCTTTTTTTCTTTTTATTTATTTTTTTTCTTTATTGATTAAGGTATTACATACGTGTTCCTATTTTCTTTTTAATTTGACTTTACATTCTTAGTTATTTACCAATCTTTACCTTCCTGATAATTAGTCATATCAAATCTAGTATTTGTCTCTTCAATAAAATTTATTTCTTTTGCCAAATATATTTTTAATTTCCAAAAATCATCTCTCAGTCTATGAATATGTCTATCTTTATAACAGCCTTTTGGGGCATAGTATTCCCCTTGGGTCATTCTGAGAATGTTAATTTTTAAAATTTAATGTTATAATCTATTCTTTACATTATCTTTGTTTTCTCTGAAGTTAGTACTCCTTATTAAACTTGGCTTGTCTCCAGTGCCATTAGCTTTCCTTAAATATTTGTTGATCCTTGGTAGTTCATATCATGAAAAAAGGGCTAAGCTGATTTGCTCATCTCACTGATGAGGACACCCTTTGACGATGTGTAGTAATCTTTCCCCAATAGGCATCTGTCCTGCTCCCTAAATAATATCATTCAAAGTTTGCATTCTAAATTTTTCTTTGAACCCTGTATAATAAGAATTATATTGTATATCTACTTCTGAAACTTTTTTATTTTATTCAATCTATTTAAGATATATCAACATTGGTGAATACACTGCTGAAATACATTCATTTTTCACTGCTGCATTGTATGATATTACATGACTATACTATCATCATATATGATAATGATGTTGTCCATTTTCCTGTAGATTGACATCTGAGTTGCTTTATTTATTTATTTGTTGTTATAAAAAATTATTTTATTTTGCAGTTTGTAATTAATAGGTCTCCTTCTACTATTCATATACAACACAATCCACTTTTTACAAAAGATTGTGTTATGGTCACATATATTTTGGATGACATACAGAGTAATATTAACTTTATTATAGAAATTAAATCTTTTAATTAAAAATATTCAACAGAGGGAAATATCTCTAGCAACAAGGATCTTAAAGGGAAATCTGTAAACCTACAGCAAAAAAATTTAAGAGAACCAAAAAAGGCTGAAAAGAGATCTTTAAAGATAATAAAATTTTAGCCCTAGCTGGTTTGGCTCAGTGGATAGAACATCAGCCTGTGGACTAAAGGGTCCTGCATTGGATTCTGCTCAAGGACATGTACCTCAGTTGCAGGCTCAATCCCTGGCCCTGGTCAGGGCTCATGTGGGAGGCAACCAATCAATGTGTCTCTCACATCAATGTTTCTCTCTGTCTCTATCTCTCCCTTCCACTCTCTCTAAAAATCAATAGAAAAATATCCTCTGGCGAGGATTAACAACAACAACAAAGAATAAAATTTTAAAATGAAGAGCTAAAAGAATTCAGAAATTTCCAGTTCAGTATTTTCATTCATGTAAAAATTTTATTCATAGGTTTAATATCAATCCTTACTGATAGATAAGAAAAGTGTGATTTGTGAAATTAAGTGACTTTTTCAAGGTAACAATGTAGTGATCTTTCACTGTTATATTTTGTGCTATAAATAAGAGCAGTCTTGTGCTTCTGAAAGTAGCCAATGAATGCAGGCAAATTTCTTATCATCCAAGAGGATAAAACGGTCAACTTTTCTGGGGTACTTGTTTCAATTGCCCCAGCCAAGTAGAACTTAGTAAACACTGTGCCATCTTAGCCTAATTTCATTTGGCATCTAAAAACTGACCAGGAAAAGACATTGTTCCAAAATAATTTGGCACAAATGTTCAGGACTCTTTCCACCAGATAAATCTGACCAAAAAATGTCAAAAGCAATTAGTGGACTGTGGTGACATTATTCAATATAGTATTAGAGATCCCAGAATTGAATGATCTGTAGTTTATTACCTTAGCATTTTGGATGCAGGGACAGAGGGCCCAAGCAGCGCTGGCCTTCACATCTGGGTGGGGGTTTTTCAGCAAGGACCACAACAAACGAACTCCATCTAAGCGATCAATTATCCTATTGTGAAATAAAAATAGAGACATAAACTTAACTAATATGTGTAAATGAAAATTTAAGTGGCCTATCTATTCAGACAATTCTAATTAGTTTTTGTCCTTCTGACATTTTGCTTGGATTTCTTTTTCCAAAACTTTAAAAACAGCAGGGATATAACATGCTGTTGAATTGTGAGCACTCAGATTTCAGTTTTAAATTCATGACACGAAAAGCAAGCTCCATGGTGATTACGATTCACATAAACTTAAAATCAAGCCATGTAATTTTTTAATTAGCTGTACACAGACTGTTACCTAAATGTAAAAATACTGGTTTCTTTTATATAGTAACATCTAAATACTTCCCAAAACAAATATTTATGCCTCAAAACTGTGCAGTTACCTTTTTTATTTGGTCTGTGTGTAATTGACTTAGCTTACAATGTGACATATTTTAAACAACTCCAGTCCTAATCTAGCATTGGGAATTAAAATCATTTCACCACAGTGCATCCTTTGTTGGGTATGAATAACATGTAACTTGTTTTCCATGTGCTCCCTTTTTGGCAAGACTAACATTGAAGACTGTGTTAATTACTTAATACTCTGTAATCAAAATATCTTCATGACTAGCTAAAAAATGAATTATCATCAGAGTCATCTATACACCATCTGTCTTCTGTTTATGTATCAATCAGTCCAGGGAGAAGAACCTTGAATTAAGGTCCGTGGAGTACTTGCAGTTGAGAAGAAGGCTAAACAAAACTTAATATACTTTACAAACATAGCTTTGTTCACACAGATACGTTAAACAAGCAGATGAGAAAATATAAAGGACATAAAAATTCCTTTAATTTTTAATCCCAAGTAGTGTTTAACACATGTGGTATTTAGCCACAGATAGAACAAATACTACTGGTTTAAAATGCTATACAAATTCTTTCTTGAAAATCAACATAAAGACATCTACATTTCTTGATTATCTGAGATGAATTTACCAGAAAAAAAGTATTATTTCAAAGATTCCAAGTAGGAAGTCATTTTCGCATAACCATATAAAACAACTGGTAATGCAAATAATTTATACTAAGATATAAACTGTTTTTTAAAAGATAAGTTTTAATTTTAAAAAAATGCATTGCAAAAGTATTTAAAGTTTAAATAGCTTTCCAAACCTAAAGCTTTCTAATATCATGCTGAGTGAAAACAAAGTTTTATTTCTCAGTTTATGGAAACTGTAAAGAAAGATACTGAGCACTATACAATGAAGGATTTACTTTACAAACTTAAAAAGCTTACTACTTTATATATGCCACTGAAAACAGAATTAACGCTGATCCCCAGGTCTCTGTATTTTTTCACACACATTTCTCAATGAATGACTGATCTCTTACTCTCTCAGAATATAGTAGTAAAATTTGCATTAGTGACATTTATGTATACGATGCTGAATATAACTTATCATGACTGCAGAAATCACTTGGATGGCACACATTTTCAGTTTAAAACAAAAAGGATAACTCAATTCTGGACTCCCCTCCATCCCGCCAGGCAAAATTTCACAATTAACTATAAAAATTCACTATTAATTATAAAATTATATCTATTATCCCCAGCTCTCAGCCCCAAACCCCAAACAATTCGTCAGCTTGTTAGTTATAAAAGATGAGGACTATGAACCCCATTACTAATGTCTTAAAAGAACTCAGCACATTACAGAGTAATGACCTTAGAGGAGGAAAACATTTGCAAACACAGCAACTAGCAAAGCCGGGGGCAAAATTAAAACAAACTTGATTTTAATTTAGTCCCACTCCCATCTTCTTCTGTACCAAGGCATTGACTGCTGTTCACTTCACAATAACTTGAGTACCTGCACCACATTCCTCTGTTCTCCCTGCAACACCCTAATTCTGGTCTTTACTACCTCATATTAGGATTGCTTCAGTAGCTACAAGACTTGGTTTTGTGCTTTCATTTCTCTCAGTTCTAATCCATCCTATAAATCCCTGGGAAATTCGTCTTCATAAGGGCCCCTCAGAGCTTCTGCAGTACTCCTTGAGAGCAGGGCCCCAGGGTTATTCATTCTGTTCATCACACCATCTAGCACATTCAATCAACATCTAAAGATCACTCCAGGAGAAAGTCTCCAACAGCTTCCCATTGGCCTCATGGTATTAAAATCCCAATTCCTGAACTCCAATATTTAACATTTCCAATGAGTTGGTTTATTCCTTTCAATTCCCTCTATTGCAGGCATTTGCTCATAATCCTCTTGGGCCATCTACTAAATACTAAGTGCTAAGCATAGCACAATGGCAGATACAGTCAGTTCTCATTACTTGTGGTAGTTACATTCTATAAGTCACGGCAAACAGTGAATTAGTGAAGACTGAACTATTACTCCTAGGGGAAATAGAAAATTTAGTTCCTGAAAGCCTCTGGTCAGAACATTTTCATCAACTGATCAATATGTAACCTTGTTTTATGTGTGTTTCTGTTTAAAAGCACCTTATTGAATATGTGTGTTTGATTCATTAACATTGAACCCATGGCCAACAGAACTATGAAGCTTATTGAGCACACGTTTTCTGTCAGGCACATCACAGCCTTCCTGCACTTAAGAATACTAGAAAACGGAGCTCTGCAGCACTCTGCTTAGGGGCTGTAGTGCAGTATCAAGCGAAGATATAGCCCAATCCCCCCTCCCAGTCAGAAGAATAGTGTCTGCCTGGCCAGAGGCCACAAGGAGCAGAGCAGCTTATAGAGTGTTTCCCATGTCCTTGACGGCTAACAAGCCTCACCAGACTCTCTGTCCTTGGGCTGCACGCAGGCCTTTCCCAGCACGGCTCCCTCTCTCTCCCTCTCTCCTTTGCTAGAGAAACTCCTAGACTCCCCTAGCCTAGTGTGGAAATGCACCAAACTGGTCACCATGGGGTCTGCCCCAGATGGAAGTAATAAAGTCTATGTCTGTCCCCTCTGGTCCCCCCACATGGTTTTTTTTGGACTAGCAAAAAACAGCATGGAGCTTCCTGGGTTGGAGCTCCTACAGTACGGGGACCATTTTAAACAAAATCACTAGCTTAAAGCACAAAACTATGAAAAGTATAGCACTAAATAGACTGTGAAAAGTATACGTGCTAACAGTATGAGCTGAAACAAGAAGGGAGAACATGCTTTTGTTCAACCTCAGCTGGAAGCATGCTCATTAGGCTACTCAAATTTTTCAGTGCTCTGCACATGTCCACTATTGACGGCAAAAGCATTCCAAATATTGATTTGTAGGTAACAAACAAATTTTAGGAGGGATACAAATTCACAAATACAGAATCTGTAAGTAATGAGAATTTTTTAAAATATAGTTTTTATTTGTTTCAGAGAGGAAGGGAGAGGAAGATATAGAAACATCAATGATGAGAGAGAACCACTGATTGGCTGCCTCCTGCACACCCCCTATTGGGGATCGAGTCCGCAACCCCAGCATGTGCCCAGACCAGGAATTAAACCATGAACTCCTGGTTCATATGTTGATGCTCAACCACTTAGCAACACCATCCGGGCAATAAATAAGGATTTTAATTGTCCTTCAGGAAACTACAGTCTAGTAAGGGAAATAAAGAGACCATTTTATGTTTATATCTCTACTAGAGGCCTGGCGCATGGATTCATGCACCAGTGGGGACCCTCAGCCTGGCCTGAAGGGATCAGGCAGAAACTAGCTCTCCAATATCCCCTGAGGGGTCCCGGATTGTGAGAGAGTGCAGGCCAGGCCGAGGGACCCCACTGGTGCACGAATCCGTGCACCGGGCCTCTAGTATGCATATAACATCTTTGGTTAATCTCTTCCCACCCTTCCTCCTCCCTGCTTCCTTCTGAGAATCATCAGTGTGTTCCATGTTTCCATGCCTGTGGTTTCCACTCCTGCATTGAGCGTCTGCCCCCTGGTGGTAAGTGTCCATCATAGCTACCAGATAGTCAGCTGGTCTCACGGCTTTTATATATATACTAGAGGCCTGTTGCACGAAGAGATTCGTGCAATAGGCCTTCCCTTCCCTTGGCTGCTGGCACCGGTTTTCCTCCTTCGCTCTGGCTGGGCTCTGGCCAGAGCTGCCCCGGA